TATATTCGAGGACGCAGAACTCACATCTCGATTCTTCAGGGAATGAAATATCGAGTAACAGGAATTACGCTTGCGGGCGCGTGCAAATCTCAATTACTCGTGCAATCGACGCTTTGATAAATTATAATACCGACTCTCGGTCGCATAGCTCGTATACGAGTATATTATTATATATAGTACAAAACTGCTACGAGAGCTCCGTACCGTATGTATATGAGTGATGCTGTGTCAGCTCGATCGAGTCGATATACGCTGCCATAGGCTTGATTTACTTAATGACATATAGTCCGTTAATGAATAGCGTGCGATAACAATATTCGCGAACAGCTCTCAGCTCGATAAGCCGAGCTCGTAATACAAAGTTTATAATTTATATGCTCGCGGCAGCAGACGATGGTGGCGAAGGCGAGTATAAAAAATTGCACTGCAGCTAATAAAATAGCCGCCCGCGCGCGTGCTCTAATTAATTTTCCATTCCACGGGAAAGAGCCGAGAAACAGGGTTGAAAATGACGGAGAGCGCGAGTCGATAATAGCAGCTGCAGCAGCAGTAGCAGTTCAGGCACCCATCGCCTCTATGAGAGAGAGTGACAGATCGATCGGAAATGCTTCTAGGCTCGTTTAAGTCTTGTGCACTTTTCTTCCCTTGGCTCTCTCGGCAGTTCACAGCTCTTTCTCTCTCTCTCTCTCTCTCTCTCTCTCTCTCTCTCTCTCTCTCTCTCTGCCTCTCAATATATCGAAAAGTTTAAAAAGCTCCGAAAGAGAAGCAGCTCGTGAACGCTCATTTAAATTTCAAAATTACTTTTGAGGGACGTTCGACGATGCGCATCCGACACTTATTTATTGTAATAACGTGCAGCGGTGTAGTGCAACTTCTTCTTTACACGATTTATGAGTCAATTTTTAATATTATAAACGGACATTTTCACTAGTATACTCACTGGCCCTTTTAGTATTATTAGTTTAGAAAAATCTATCACGAAGGTGAGCTTTTAACTTTATCCATTTGTGAATAAATGGATTAGAGGGTTAATCAATCAAAACTTGAATTGAAAACATGGGCAGATTATGGAGCCCGTCAATTGTGCAATTGCGTAGAGGTGGTAAATTTTGGAATGAATCTTGAAATTTATTTATCATAAATGTATGTTAAAGGATCTATATAATAATCGAAGCTACTGAAAGTTTTTTTGGAGTGCTGAATTTTAGAAGGCCAAAAAATTCCGCAGAGATATTGTCCTAAGGATAGAATTTTAAATTAGTTTAAATATTATAAAGGAAATGTATAAACAGATAAATCGGTGATTCAACCTGTAAACAGTATGATTATAAACAGTGATATTGTTCCTCGAAACACTGATCATGTTTATAGTAAAAACAAATTAGTTTAAGTGTTGTCCTTCCCGATGAAACAAGTCATAATACCAAAAGATAAATTTTACTCGTTCAATTTCCGTGATACTAAATAGAGAGATCCATCATATAATTTAGACATCAAAATGAAGCAAAGTGAGATAAAATCCAAAAAAGTTGTCTCGGATAATAATTTAAGTGAACATGACATTGTTGTTTCAGACTACAAAAAATTAGTTTGTGATATTTCTCAGAAGGTATTTACACTAGAATCAGACATGAAAACACACCGAGACATAATTCACAATAAACGAAAAGATTACGCATGCGACAAGTGCGAAGAGAAGTTCGAGTTCCGTAGTCATTTGAGTAGACACCAAATATCTGAACACAAAAGCCGCAAAGATTTTGCATGTGACCGTTGCGAGAAAAAATTTGTGAAAAAATCGAGTTTGTTTACGCACCAAAAATTAACCCACAAAGATTACGAAGATTTTAGGTGCAACAAGTGCGAAAGGAAGTTTGAAAATAAATCAACTTTACTCAAACACAAAAAAATATTTCACGAAGTTTTCAAAAATTATTTGTGTGAAATATGTGCGAAGAGATTTGATACTAAATCAACTTTGCTCTTGCACATTAAAACAGTCCACGAAGGTCGAAAAGTTTTTGCAAGCGATAAGTGTAAAAAGAAATTTGGACTAAAATCAGCTTTAATTTTGCACCAAAAGACAGTACACGAAAGTTGCAATTATTTTGCATGCGACGAGTGTGAGAAGAAATTTGGTCGAAAATCACATTTGATCTTACATCAAAAGACAGTCCATAAAAGACACAAAGATTTTGCATGCGACAAGTGTGAGAAGAAATTTACGCAAAAAAGTAATTTGCTCACCCACCTGAAGGCAGTCCATGAAGGTCGCAAAGATTTCGCATGCAACATGTGCGAGAAGGTATTTGGTCATAAACACGTTATGATTCTTCACCAAAAGATAGTCCACGAAGGTCGCAAAGACTACGTATGCGACAGGTGCGAAAAAAAATTTGGACGAAAGTCGAATTTGATTTTTCACCAAAAGACAATCCACGAAGGTGGCAAATATAACGCATGCAACAAGTGCGAGAAAAAATTTGGACGGGAAAGTGATTTGCTCAACCACCAAAAAACAGTCCATGAAGGTCGAAAAGATTTTGGATGCGACAAGTGTAAAAAGAAATTTGGATTAAAATCAACTTTACTTTTGCACCAAATGACACTACACGAAAGTTGCAATTATTTCGCATGCGACAAGTGCGAAAAGAAATTTACGCAAAAAGGTAATTTGCGCACCCACCTGAACTTAGTCCATGAAGGTCGCAAAGATTATACATGCAAAACATGCGAAAAGAAATTTGGATACAAATCAGATTTGTTAAAGCACCGAAGGACAATACACGAGGGTCACAAAGATTACGAATGTGACAAATGCGAGAAGACATTTGGGTTTCAAAGCAATTTAGTAAAACACCAAAATACAGTTCATAAAAATCGCAAAGAATACGCGTGTGATAGATGCGAAAAGAAATTTAGACAAAAAACGAGTTTGATTATGCACCAAAGGATAGTCCATGAAGGTCGGAAAGATTTCGTATGTGCGAAATGCGAGAAAAAATTTGGAATGAAACAACATTTGTTCAGACATGAAAGAAGTGTCCACAAAGATCGCAAAGATTAGGGACTAGTGCAAAAAGAAACCATGTACTCCATCAAATTTGAGTTAGCACCGAAGAGCAGACCACACAATTCACAGAAACAAACAATCAGAAAATTCTCGAAGTTTCTTAAGATTACGTATGTAATAAATACGATAACATTTTAGCATATATACACGCAATTCGATTCTCAACATTTGATTTGTGCAGTTGCATCCAACCTCATGTCGCTTGATAATCAAGTTTTTATGAACAATTGATTCTTTATGCGAATGTATCGAACTAATGGCAGTCATATGCTCTGAATAGTAACTCAAAGTAGTGTGTATACCTCATAAGTGAAGCGATTAAAAGCGCTAATTTTCCTCTTGAAAATTGTAAATATGTATAAATACTTAAACAGATGTTTGAGTAAAACATTTCAACAAAATTATGCCAATATGATTGTATATTACCAGTACCTTGTGTGATCAACTATTATTACATACCTTTGTTCATTATCGTAGCGGTGTTATATTTTTAAACCAAATTTCGCGCACTGCTTATTGTCAATCTCCGTGAATTTTCTGACCACTTGTTTCATGTAGCTACTCATGCTACGACCAGACAAAAATTTTGATAAATTTGCTGACAGACTGATTATTTCTGCTAAGAGAGCCGTGATCGGTGGTAGCAACAATGATTTTTTAGTAAAACTAACGTAGAAACCATTTAATAATTAAATTAAATCTAACAATGTTTTTACTTTAATATTTCGAACTTAATTTTCTGAGCCTTTAAAAATCAACTGGCTCGAGTGAAAGTTTGTGCGAGGGCGGCACTTTTTCCTACACTTGAATAATCACAATAACGATCCATCTCCAGAGGGACGAGAGTTTCGAGCGCACAAATAACTCGTCGTTGAGGTAGCGAGCATTAATCGAAGCCTGGCCCTGGCGGCTAATCTATTAGCTCGAGAGCTCGGGTTATACACTATAACTTATCAAATTTCCTAAACTATTTCATATAGTTCAGCGATAATCTTGGCGTTAACGGCTTACAGACTTCGGTAGAGATACGCGCGCGTGCATAAACTACCCTCTCATTCAACTTGTATATAACGTTATAATCCTAATTTTTTATTTCTTCGTACGCGGATCTCTTTTGTCGAAGCGCACAACCAAAATTGAGCGTGAGCTCGCATTTATACGGCTACTATTTGCTTGTTGCTCCACTCCAACTTAGTCGATGGAACGTTAAACTTCACAATGGATCCGAAACTCGATGTGTGGCGCGGCGCATTGAAAAGGCGTGAAAGATACATAATGCTCGCCGAAAATGTGCTTCCAAAGTGAACGAGAGAGGAGAGATACGTTGCTACGTGACTGCAATAGTAGAGATAGAGATTGGGAGCTGCAATATTTCGCCGAAAACTATACGTATACGAAATCATTTCAACGACTGGGTGAACTTTTCGAATTGTCCAAACTGGAGCAACGAGATGTGCTGCTGCAGGCGTAGGCAAATTTATTTGACGAGAACGACGAAAAAAAAGCAACGACTCTAATAATTTAATGGACGATTGACTTCAATGGATAAATTGTGCATAAGCGTGCAGCAGTTAAAATTAAACATGTAAAGGCACGATATTATAAAGTAGCCAAGCGTACTATCTGTACTCGATCCGTAATTAAGCAACGAGATACGATATTTGATCCGGAAGAACAAAGTTTAGTTGAGCGTGCGCTGTACGTAACACGATCGTCAAACGTCACATCGATTGAGAACGACTCTGCGGCGCATTATGACATTATCGAATTCGAACCTTTTCCCATTCAGGCCGGTTCGTTATCGAAAGTGTACACATATTGACTCGCGAAAATTATGTGCGTCAATTTAATCGACCGTGGCTAATGGCGCTCGCAAAATTTTCATCAAAATAGACAATGGGGAGAGAGTGATTGAAACGAACTCGCGTTTTGTTTATGCTTTATGATAATTTGGAATATTTATTTCATGTTGATGTTTTTGTTATCGTTGTCATTAAATAATAATTTGAAGCAAACAAGATGAAGATATCGTTTTTAGTAAAGGCCGCGAGACAGGGAGCCGGATCGAGAGGACGACTGGCTCGAAGCGCCGCTGACGCTTCCGCTTCCTCCCAAGACCTGAGCTTCGGATGGCGCCTGCAAAATATTTCACGGGTTTTATAACCTGCTGCGAGTATATATCGTACACACTCCGGTGGAGTAAGTACAGCAATAGCAGTAGCAGCAGCAGTAGCGAACGATTAAGCGATTATCAAGGTGGAAAAGCTCTTATATACTTACTATAACGGAGAGAAGCGCCACCGTGCCAAGAACAACGACCAAGTAGAGGGAGCTTGAGAGACTCATCTGTTGAAAGAAGAAGAGAAAGAGAAAAAAAATACAAGTGCGATTATCGTAAACAGCTGCAAGAAAGTGTGTAGTATATATATATGTCGAAACAAATTGCTTCGGCAGAACAACTTACTTTTGTTTCTTCGTTGCTGAAAAAAGTTCAACTGTAAAGTCTCGAAGCTGGCCGAGCGATATTTATACCGCCGAGGAGCAGCGATTCATTAAATCATATTCACGTACTCTCGCGTCGTTGCAAAAAAATTTTATCGGACCCGGCTTAATATATTAATAATTCCGCAAGTATAACACGTACGTGCATTGAAAAGCGCGCGGAATTAAATTTTGCACAGCGGAACAATGAGCTTCCAGTGCTCGTAGTCGTAGTCGTCGTCGTGAAAATACACACAAATCTGTCGATATGTTTAAATGCAATCTCCTCCTCTGGTTCGTGGCTCTACATAAATTATAACCGATCTGCATTATCGAGAGTGTACGCGCCGCCGCACGTTCATTTTTTTCTTTAAGCAATCGCATTACTAGACACGCGTGTATAGTGCGGACAATGAGTGCGGGGCAATCGTTAAAAATCATTAAAAGTAGACGGTGATAAATTGCAAGTGTGGAGGAAGAAAGACGCCTTAGCAGTAGTATATGCAGCAGCATCAGTAGTGTGGCGTGTACTCGGAACGATAATACCGGAAGCTTTGCCCCTATATACTAGTTGGAGCGATATGTCAAGCTTGCGAAGAATTAATCTTAATACTGATTTCTTTTTATGTGCTTGCATCGAAGCTACAGCAGCTATGTATTTAACGAGGAAAGCGGCTTTAGTTAGAAAGAATCACGGGCTCTAACTTTTCAAGTTTTCCACACGTTCGTACGTCTCTGTACAAGAGTAACACAGACTATAAACCAGTATTATACAGTATACGAGGAACGATGTAACGTATATCACTATGCGGTGCGAGTCGTGGAAATGTCGGTCATCTGCCGCGCGGCGTGCGTTGCATCAGTGCAGCAGCGGCAGCTCGACGACTTCACAGCCCAACGATATTTACGAGCCAAGTAACACTTTCACCACCGCCTCTCTGCCTGCCTGACGCGCGAGACGTGAATTACCACCGCCGCGTCTCTCGTTAATTAGTGTTAAAAACAAACGCCGCGTCGCGCACGCAGAGATCATCGCATTATGCAGCAACAGCAGCAGCAGCAGAAGCTTTTGCGGTGCGCAGCGCACTGCAGCAGAGAGTCGATGCGTGTGCGGCACAGCTGTGTGCCGAGCTTACACAAATTTACACTCTCGACGTCTATTATAACGAGTGCGTGTGTATCTGCAGCGCAGCGCTCGCGACATGAATTACGCGCGAGCTCCTACATGTGCGTTATAATAGGAGCCGCGAAGAGAGTCTTTGTCTACGCGTGACCTCTTATGTATCTACGCGTTATATCCTTAGGCGCATTGAATGTGCCGATCCGACGACGACGACGAGTAGCTGCCACTGCCGCACACGCGTCTCTTACAATATATACAAACTATACACATCTATCTATCCGCTGAGAGAGATTGTTGGCCTGAAACGGCGAGATATAGGCATTATAACAGGCAGCTACTGCACAGCGGCACAGATCTTCCGCATATAATATACGTACAGACTCGACGTTTTTGTTCGCTACATTATTATTATATAGGCATGAGGCAGATTTAACGGCGCTCCATTAAAATGACTTTTTTTGCCATTCAGCTGCCGCTGCTGCTCGCGGCGGCGTAAATGTTTATATACATATCGAAGCCGCGAAAACCAGTTTTCTATTCAGACACGCGCACGGCGCACTACATGCCGAGCATTGAGCAACAGCTTTTCTGCTTACGCAGTCTATATAGCATAATATATATCGAACTCTCGACGGCGGCATATTATCGAGTGGTAATAACAGTTGCGAGGGCCTATATAAGCCGCGAGATAGGGAACAATTCGATGAATGGGAATAATGCGAACGCGCGCGAGCGAGAATCAACGAGAGATATGTTAGTGTACGAATGAGCGAGAGAGTGACAGACGCGATCGATGCTGTATGCGTTAAATACAAAGGCGTCAGGCCAATCGTAGATCCATTATTATGAAAGAAAAACCTCGCGCGTAGCCGAGGCTCATTGTATGCCAATATAATAACAGATAGTTTAGCTTATTTATCGCACCGAAGACTCGGCGAAATTATTCGTTGCACCCCGGCCCAAATGGGACTACTTTGCGTATGCGCTATAGTACACATAGGCGTGGGCGGCGCGGCGCAACAAGGAGCCGCTGTGCAGTTCTCTCGAGTTCGCCTACCGGCGCGTACAACGTCGACCTAATTTCGGGGCCGGTCGTCGGGCTCGCTGCTTCGACCGGGTATCTCGTATAAGTGCACACTGCAAAATGCAAAAGTGTCGGTTTAAATATTGAAGAGGGCGAGCAGGAAGAGGAATAGTCGGAGGAGGAGTAGGAGGATCGAGAGTCTGCAGCCGAAGGGAACATATTCGATGCTCGAGCGCGGTGGCGCACGGCAGCTCTACGTATAGTGTGCGCGCGACGCGCCATAATGACATCATCTCATTTACTTGAATTAATTAGTTCAATTATTATGCCGGGGGCGCACGTATGTGTGGGCTATGCACCGTGCGGCAACTTATATTTTATTGCACGTAACGGCTATTTACGATGCTTTAGCATGCAAAGCGGGGCCCTGGCATAAGCAGGTACCTACTACCCGTGTGGATTAACTAACAACGAGCTTTTTTTAACCGATTTTCTCGTAACTCGAGAGTGCATATATACTTACACGAGACACGCGGCCTCGTGCAATGTTGTACGGCAGCTGTGTCCGCCTTAGCGAGAGTTACTCGTTAGCGCGTTGTAGCTAGTATACATACACAGGAACGAGCTTTGTTTGGCTTGGCAAGTGCCTGTAACATATACTACTAACATGCCGAAGCTCGAGCTGACGATATTATCGAGTGTGTACGCGTGGAACGACGACGACCTCGATCGCAGGGGCAGTAGAATCCTTTGGCACGATTGTCATGCGCTGCAACCGAGCTAGGATATAGCTCATTTTGAGATGGGAAAAATACATATAAGCCGAGTCGAAATATATTCAGGCAAGCTCGCGAGCCGTTTGAGCTTTCGAGTGATACGATCCATTTGCGAGTAGGTACATGCTAGCTATGAAGGCAGTAGCAGCAGCAAAAAAAGCATAACAATGCATCTGCTGCAGAGCGCAGCTCACTTATTTGCTTAGCCCTCTTGCTAAAAATAGCTCTCCTCCTCTCCTCGGCACTGATACAAACTACTTCTCCTTTTCGTCGTCCGTACTTCGTACTCGTCGTCGTAACTTAAAAGAGCAATGTAGAGCATAACGGTGACGTTCTCTCGCTATCTCTCTCTTCTCTTCTCTCTCTCTCTCTCTCTTGTACTCTCTCACTCTCGGCTTATGCTGTGGCTGCTGCGCTGTTATACTGACTTTGCCGAGTTATAAACGCAGAGAGAGAGAGAGAGAGAGAGAGAGAGAGAAACACTAGGCAGGAGGAGGAAGGGGTCACGAAGGAGCTGTGCGCCGGGCCAGCTTTAGTATATTTACTGCCTTCAACGAAAGGAGTCTGCTGCTGCAATTGTATAATAGCCTACTCGGAGCAGCAGCAGCAGCAGCAGCGAGACAAAAAAGCTAACTCGAGCTGACCTCGTGCAGCTGCACGACGCCCCTACTCTCCATCTATATCTCTCTTTTTATCCCTCCTCCCGCGCACCATCACCATCATACATAGCTCGACACTCTAGTCAATGTCGATTTATAACGTGCATGCATATAGTACATACTTCGAACGACGATTTATCCTTATTGTTATTTTCTCTTTTAACGACATGGCAAAAGCGCCGCGTACATATACCTTATCGAACGCACGTGGAAAAAAAACGACGACGCGTCGCGCTCTTGTTATATGAACGGAGCTTTGATCTCGCGTCATGCAGCCACTATAAATAATAATAACCGCGTGTACGTTTCTCTTGTTCAACGCTATAACGTAGGCTCAACCGCGCTGCAACTCGCTCATGACATATATGTCCGCGCGCGCACGACTAAAAACGTCGTTCAATGGTGTGGCCCTTTTTCGCAGCTAGCCGTAGGTATATACATACTCGTCGCGTGCTTACTCTCTCTCTCTCTCTCTCTCTCTCTCACGGTCCTTGTTTTTGCTTCAAGAGTACCTATTCGCTGCATCTACAGCAGCAGCAACACCACTCAGTCTCCTGCACAGTCTAAACTTACCTAGACTAGCGTTTTTTCTTTCGCTCTTTTTTTTTGCTATGTTTTATTTTAATAGAAGAGTGCGAGCTTAAAATAGGTGGATAATGGAAAAGCTCGACACTTTTTGCGCACTCGCAAAACAGTCGGCTCCGCAGCAGCAGTGGCAGCTTTTTACGCGTAAAAATATACGCGCGCGCCTCGGGTCTACTACGCACTTGCGAGAAGCTCGAATTCGTTAGTCGCTAAAAAGTAAAATAAAAATATTGACCCACGACTCGAAAGAAGCGCTTCTCGGTGACGGGCGTCTCTTTTCCCTCTTACACATGCTTACATACGAATGCGCAACGACGATTTCCAAAAAATTGGGCGCGAGAAGAGTCGAGAGCGAGCGAGAGTCAACAACGTTTTCAACTACGTCGAGTTGCGCATGAAAAAAAACTCGCCGAAAGTATTAGTTCGTATATAAGTGCGCGCAAAAAGTTGAAGAGAAAATCTCTCTCACTCACTCGCTCACTCACCGTGTGGCAGCAGAGCTGCGAGAAGAGATGCGTCTCAAGATCTCTACCTACTATGCATGCCTAGCTATATAGATTTTAAAGAGTGTCTAGCATACTTCGGTTAACGCCTCGGTAAATGCGCCGCCGCCGACGAGCCACGATGATGGCTATATAGGTACACGACTCCGCGGCGAGAGGATATTATACGCAAACATATCTTCGACTTTACTCATCGAGACGTTTGCTTTTATTTTTCTTATATCAACGTTGCCGGAGGTGTGTACACCAAGTTGTTCCTGCGCCAGGAACTTCGACTCGATACTTTGGCTCTAAAGCACCTATATATACTTGGCTCGTTTTTGATTGTCTTTCGGAAAGTTTCTCGAACCCGCGGC